AAGGCCAGGCCGAAAGCGAGAGGAGCCTTGTGGAGGGGCGGCGAGAACTGCTCTGGCTCTTAGATTCCTCAGTGTTACCTGCTGAGGGCTGTAGAGACGGGCCGCGCGAGGACACTGCTTCGGAGGAGATGTGGCGGTCACTGCTGTCCTGCTTTGTTGGACGTGGAAAGTCTGTACTCTCCTAATTCTCAGCCCATGTGGCTGTTCGGGAGCCGTGACCCGTGCTGACGATCTCACGGCCCCCAGGAGACCAAAACTGATGTATTTTCTCTCCTGGGAGGAGCAGGGGGACCCACCGAGAACAGTGTCGCTGCCCTGGTGTGACTCACTGGAGCTGGTCCCCAGTCACCTTCAGTAGGTGCGAGGAAACAGAAGTCCAGGCTTATCACCTTTATTTTAAAAATATTGTGAACAGTGGCCTGTGTAATGTCGCAATTTAAGACTTTAAAGGGCTTCATTTTTATCAGTTGGTATCAACAGAATAACTCCCAGAGAGTGATTCCTGTTAACCCCTGAGACTGATCACACGCTTGCTCGGGCTGATGAAGTGGCCCAGGTCGGATGGTCCCCCCGTCTGGGGGTCCAGGGACGGCACAGGGAGGCTGTCCCCGGGGAGGCCTGCTGGTGCTCTCACATCTCACTGCCTTTCCTGTCTGTTACTCCCCCAGTGGCGCCCACGGTGACCGTCTCCCCAGCCAAGAGAGAGGCTCTCAACCACCACAACCTGCTGGTGTGCTCGGTGACGGACTTCTATCCAAGCCAGGTCAAAGTTCGGTGGTTCCGGAACGACCAGGAGGAGACAGGCGATGCCGTGTCCGCCACCCCCCTTATTAGGAACGGGGACTGGACCTACCAGATCCTGGTGATGCTGGAAATGACCCCCCAGCGAGGAGACGTCTACACCTGCCACGTGGAGCACCCCAGCCTCCAGAGCCCCGTAACAGTGCAGTGGCGTAAGGGGCAGTTTGTTTCCTTCACCGCAGGCCCCACAGAGAGCAAACAGCATCCCCTGGCCACCCCATCTCATCCCTATTCCCGCTGCCACCACTGAGCTGGACATCACAGGGTGCTAGAGCCCTCTTGTGCCATGGCAGGGGCTCAGGAGATTCCTGGTCTCATTGTGTTTCCAGGCACTAGGGAGGTCATTACACCAGGCCCAGAGCCCAGCCTGGGCGCTCTGGAGGACTGACTGTGGCAGCTGGTGACTGGGGCTCAGGGCCCAAGGTTAAGGATGTGTCTCAAGGGGCAGGGATCCGCTTCCCCCTCTGTCACCCACCCACGGTGTCCCAGGATTTATTGGGTGGTCCCTCCCCAGGGGTGGTCAGCATGGAGAACTAGGCTCCCCTGCAACTGCTCCTCCACCTCCACCTCCACCTCCTGTGCCTCAGACTGGAGTCCAGACTTCCCACAGGGACACTGTGGGTGTGGGACAGACGCTGACACTCAGGTTCTGCTCCCCAGGGGCACAGTCTGAATCTGCCAGGAGCAAGATGCTGAGTGGCGTCGGGGGCTTGGTGCTGGGGCTGATCTTCCTCAGCCTGGGCCTTGTCATCCGTCACAGGAAACAGAAGGGTAAGGAACTCTGGAGAAACGGGAAGATGGGCTGTGCCTGAGACCCTCTGTTAGGGGGATCCTGCTTCTAGGTGTAACTTTACCTCCTGACGTGGAAGGAAGCAGGCTGGGCTGGTGCTGGGAGGGACAGAACTTCCTAGGAGGGACTTTGGACTCTGATTTTTCTCGTTGAGAGGTAGCCCTGCCACAGATGTGACTGGTGGCTGCTGGCGAGTGTCCTAGGATCTCTTACAGTTCGTCCTGGTCTCGCTGGCCCCTTTCCTAAAGCTCCTTGTTTAAGGTCAGAGCATTGGCTTCCCTTCCTTCTAGGGACAGGTTAATTCATTTGGGGTATTGTAGCTCAGGGTGGTTAAGGCCTTGTGGCCGATGGGTAGGAAGGAAATAAATTTCCAATTAAGTTTCTTACCTCATTTCCCTGTGGGGTGGAAGAGGGACCGGCTGTTTGTGTGATGAGACCTTTCTCTGTGTAACTTCCTTCTGTAGGATCTCAGGGGCCTCAGCCAGCAGGTACTGTCTGCTCTGATTCAGTAGGGGGTAGGGTGGGGTGTGTGTGAGCGCAGGCGAAAGAGGGAGGGGCGTGAGGTGAGTGTTCCTGATCACAGAGGCCTTGATTCATGGCCTGGTCCCTGCCACAGGATCAAGCGTTAGGGGAGACGGTTGCCCAGTTTCTGTAAGAAGCTCTGGGCTTGTTACCTGGAACCAGGGCTTCACTTTGGTGGCATCTTCCTGTGAAACTTGGAGCCAGAGCCACAACTTGGGTGCTGGACATGGGGATGATGCCCACTTGTGTCACATGTTGACGGCTCCTGCCTATGGGCATTTATGTGACTGGGAGAGTCATGGGAGGAAGGTTGGTTATCATTAAGTTTGCTAAAAAGATTGCAATGCTCATCCCCCCCTCCCCCTGAGGGATAAAAGCTGTTCCCCGCCTCCCACACGTCTTTGTGGAGCCAAAGTGTGTCTTCTTTACTGATTTCACCCTTCCAGGCACTGGGGAGGTGGTGACGACACACCTGGACCTCAGCTCTCTGTGATGCTGTGGGGGCCCCGAGAGGAGGGGACAGGGCATGTCCCTCCGGGTGCCGGGTGCTGACCACTGTCTCTTGCACAGGGCTCCTGCGCTGACTCCTGAGGGTACTTTGACTGGGACTGGCTGTGTTTCTTCCGATATGCCTGCTTGTCCTCACCCAGAATTCCAGCTGCCTGGCAGCCTGTCCCCTGAGATCAGAGCCCTACAGTGACTCTGAGGCAGGTGGCCGTCATCCCCTGTGACCCCCACCCAAGGATGCTGCCTCCTGCACTGACTTTGAGCCCCTGCCCATCCCTGCCAAGGCATTTTTCTGTTTCCACCCTTCCCCTCCCCTTCCCCCGCCCCCAACTGTTCAGGAGAAGCACACTGAAATCAATTACCTGCCTACAGAGCTTTTTATCATAATTAAACATTATGAGTTGTCTGTTTCCTGAACCTCATTAATGAGCAGAGGTAGGAAACCAGTGCGGAATGAAAGAAACATATTTCGAGGTGACCCAGCCAGCCTGGGACCAGAAGGAGTGGTTATTCCTTGAAAGAAGACTAGAGGCCTCTTGGGGTACCATGTAAGGGTGGGAAGAGGAGACAGAAAATCATTTCAATTGTCACATCTTCATGGTTCTTTAGTGTTGATGTTGAGTGTAGTGGCCTCAGGACTGCGGGCCACTCCTCTGGTTTGGTGAGACTTCTGTCAGCAAGCATGGTGGAAATGTTGGCAGGCTGGTACAGTGACCTCTGGTTACTGACATTTCAATATAATCTGGCAAGTCACATAGGCTGAGGTCAATTTTTAATTTTGAGAAAATATAATCAGCAATAAAAGTACTATTTTTGGTTTCAAATGATAGAAGTCCAACACAAATTTATTTTGCTCATGTTACAAGTAAACCTGGGGTCAAGTTGATTTTAGAAGAGACTAGGTCCAGATATTCAGTGAGATCTTCATGGCTCTCTTCTGGTTTTATCTCTATCTGTGCACCTTTCTCTCTTTCTCGGTGTTTCTCTTTGTCCTTGTATGTTCTACCAGTGTCTCTCTGCATCTTTGTCTCTGTCTTCCTTTCCAGGCCTCTTTCACTGCCTCGCTGCCTCTCTCTGTCTAATTTTTCTCTAGCTGCACCTTTGTCACTACTTACCTGCATCTCTATCCTTCTGTGTTTCTTTTGCCATCTCTTTATTTTCAGCATCTCTCTTTTTCATCACCTCACATTCGATCTCACTCTGTTTCTCTGTGTGGGTCTCTCTGCTTCTAGAGTGTCTATCAGAGTTTTCACCATTTTAGCAAAGACTCTGATTGGCTCAGCCTGGGTAACATGCACACTTCTCAGAAACACCATCCTGTACATGGGATGCAGACAGCCTGGGTTATGCCCATCGCCCATATTAGGAACAGGGACTGGACTTTCCAGATCTTGGTGTTGCTGGAAATGACTTCCCGGAGTGGAGATGCCTATACCTGTCATGCGGAGCACCCCAGCCTCCAGAGCCCCCCTACAGTGGAGTGGTGTAGAGGCAGTTAGTTTCTTATGGACCACAACACAAATGGCAGAGCTTCCTCTGGTTCTAGGTTCCCTCCTTGGGGACGACCAGCTCACAGTCATCCCAACGCATCTCCTGCACAGTCACCTGATAGCACTGCTGAGTTGGAATTCTCAGAGGACAGAGCACCCCTGTCTGTGAACATAGTGACCTGTTGATTCCTGATATTCTCTTCTCAGATGTTAGGAAGGTCACTATCACTGTGCTCCTTAAACATGGACCCAGTTCCTGAAAGCTGGTCTCCAATTCAGTCTCTGGGTTTTGTCATTAAGAGGGTGGCTGGCAGTCAGAGAAAGACAACTATTACATTATCTCACTTATATGTGGAATCTAATGAACAAAATAAACTCATGAACAAAATAGATCCAGAGACACGGAAGCATGGAACACACTGACAAATCTCAGAGGGAAGGGGGGGAAAAGATTAACCAAAGAACTTATATGCATATATGCATGGCCCATGGACACAGACAATAGTGTGGTAGGCCTGGGGAGGGGGAGTGGGGTGTAAGGAGTTAAAGGGGGGGAAATGGGACATCTGTAATACTTTAAACAATAAAGATACACTTAAAATAATAAATAAATAAATAAATAATAAATGGAATCATGCAAGATGTAGTCTATTGTGACTGGCTTATCTCACTTAGCAAAATGTTTTCAAGATTTATCTATATTGTAGCAGTTATCAGTACTTCATTCCTTTATATCGCCAAATAATATTCCAGTGTATGGATATACTATTTTGTATATTCATTCATCATTTGGTGAGCATTTCGATGGTTTCTACTCTCTGTTACAAATACTGATATTTTGAGCATTTGGGGGCAATTTTTGCATTAACAAGCTTTTATTACTCTTGGGGGTATTTGCCTGGAAGTGAAATCACTGATTTNGAGGGTGGCTGGGAACTTATCTCTGAAATTATGGAGGACCATGGTCCTGAGGAGCAGGCATCTCTCCTCTCTGCTCCCCCACCACTGGGCCTGAAAAGCCAACAACAGGTCCTTCCCTCTCCTGGATGGGGTCAGAATGGAGAATTAAGCTGTTTCTTGGGACCTTCATCTCTTGTAATCCAGGCTGCACTGAAAGTCATCAGGCAGGAACTTGGGTGTGGGGACAGACAGTGACACTTGGGAATTACTCTTCAAGGTGGCATTCTGACTCTGCCAAGAACAAGATGCTGAGTGGTCAGAGTTTCTGTGCTGGTTTGTCATCTTCCGCAAGGTTGGCATTGTCATTCACTATAGAAGTAAGGATGGAGTGATACTCTGGGGCCAGTGGAAGTGTTGTGTAAGCAACTAGTTAGTATTCATATAGGGTGGGAACTAGGGAGCTGAGTTGGACCATAGGCCAACTTCACTAAGAAAGTGCAGCACTTATAGGCTCCCCGGGGGATGGCTGCATCCTCCATCCCGGGACCTAATCCCTAAAGCAGGCAGGAAGGATCATTGCCAGTCATTAGCCAGGCTGTCTTGTCATTAGCCGGGATTACTGAAGGAGAGATCAAACAATAAAGGTAAACTCCTTTGCTGGCTGCATGCCCAGTAGAAGCCAAGATGGTGACCATCAAGGGGAAGTGTCTAGCTTGGGAAAAGGTTGGATTGGATAAGGGAGACACCCTGAAAGATATAGGGTATGGATTGGTTAGGGGGATGGCACAACACCAGCCTACAGAAGATTGGGAAGTTGATTGGCTTGTTTGAAAAAGTACCAGGTCCTTCCCAAGCCTGAGAAAATATAATCCAAGTTTAACAAAAAGCTCTTCGTAACAAGAAGAAGCCACATAAAGCCTGGTAAGAAGGGCAGAGATGCAGAAAGAACGAGCCCCAGCATTCAGGTGCAGTGACAGTTGAGAAGCTGGAGGGATATTGGGGCTGCAAAACTCCCTTTCCCTAGGAGTGTGGGGTCTCAACACCATGCAGGGATCCCTGACCAGAGCAACAGAGGCAGGAAGAGGAGCCTGCATAGCATCTAGTGGTGAAAATCAGTGGGGATTCAGTCCTCTTGGGAGACTCATACCCCACCCTCCTAGGAACCAGCACTTCTGTTCCTATAGCACCAGCCTGGGGAGTTCAGAGTGTGGACTGCAACTGCTGGTGAGGTCACACTGCATTACTCAAGTCCTGTGGATGGGTCTGTGAACTACACCCAGAAGTGACTTTAAGGGACCTTCTATTTTCAAGGGGGAGACCAAGAGAGTAACTAAACTTTGTGGTTTGAGAAAGAGGGCCAGTCTCCCCCACCCGAAGTACACAGCCAGTGCCCGTCCCTCTACCTGTTGAGCAACTCGGCCTGCCCCATCTTGCTGGGCTTGGCAGCACAGGAGAGCTGCACAGAGCTGGGGCTTTCGGCCCCATCCTCCTGAGATCAGCCATGCAGAGACTGGAACCACACAGAGCTGGGACCTTTGGCCCCATTCTGCTTGATATGGTGGCTTGGCAGCCCAAGGAGCTACAAAGAGCTGGGATTTTCAAACTGTCTCCTGGGGAGACTTCTGTCTGAGAACCATACGGGTGAGTGCTGGGCTGTGTGGCTGGCCACATTGTGGAGAGGTGAATCCAATGTCCCTTGTGAGTTCAGTCTGTGCTACACCTGAGAGGGGAAGAAGTGCCCGCCCTCCTCCTACAGGCTTGTGGGTGCCACTCTCAATGGGAGACTGTTTTGATCAGTCTTGCCATATCCTGAGTACCCTTGTTGGATGCAGTTTTGTGGGTGGAAGAGAGAACAGCTCAGAGTTGGGACATTCAAAGTGTGAGACCCTTGGAGGTTGTTGTCCCTTCTGTGGGCTGGGCCAGCATCATCCCCAAAGGGAGACTCTTTTAATCTACCCCCCTGAGCCTGGGGCTGCTGAGTTTGCTCCTACAGAAGTATGGCTGGCTGCACCCAACCTGAACCTGCAGCAAGCCCACCTATGGCAACTGGAGTTGGAGACTCTGGCAGAGACTTAGTGGTTTGGCTCTGGAGCAGGGGCCAATTTTCCCTCATTGAGTGCCTGACCATGTAACCCTAAGTAGGGGACCCACTATCTATCTGCCTGACCCTGTTTGCCCCACCCTACTGAGCTCTCAACCTGTGGAAGGGGCTATGGATCATAGTTAGCCTGGGCTCATCCTATAGTCTTTCTTTGGAAGGCTCTGGAGGAAGACCAGACAACCTTATGGGGAGGTGGAGTAGCTGACAGGTGTAGGTGGACTTCAGAGAGCCTTGGTCCTTTTACAGATCTGCTCTCAGTTTTAAGCTGAAAGGAGCTGATCCTTTTACACAGATTGGCCTTTCCCATGTACACTCAGGTTCAGCAGACACAGACACAAACAGTGAACAGTGTGGTAGCTATAGTCAGGTCCCCCAAGGCCAGTTACACACAATGTCTGACAGTGACTTGTGTCTGAACCCCATCTAAATGGACCCAGAGCCACACAATCAGTGGTGGACTTCAGACACCACAAGAGCTCAACTGAACTAGCCACACAAGTGTCACACCCAAAGGGGGATTCTGGCAGGCACCAGACCCTGCTGAGAGCAATTCAGCCTCAGGAGGCAACCCCTGCACAGAGTCAGATACACAGGGATTGAAGTTTACCTTTTTAGTCACCCAGTCTGGAGGGTTAACTCCATCCATAAAAGGGTCAACAATATTGAAGACTCAACTACTATAGGAGGGTGCACATAACTCACAAGAAATATTCTTGGAGCATGGAGTTCAAGTGATCTAGAAGATTGTACCCCTGAGCCCAACAACACACCTTCATCATAAAGCCTTCATAACAAATTTGGGAGTAATAGCAGATCTCCGTAATACACAGAGACAAAATGAGGAGACAAAGAAATATGCCCCAAATGGAAGAACAAGAGAAATACACACAAAAAGAATGAAATGAGATGGATGAAATGA